AAGTAGATCTATAAATATATGAAAAACTTGAAAATGAATGGTCTAGATAATGTGTTGCAAGATGCACTATCTTCGAGACTCAATTTTTTTTTTTTTCATAGACATAGATTTCGATGTCGAGATGATTGATTAAAGGGCTTTTTCAACATTAAAACGACATTTCCGATAGATTTATAAGGTGTATATGTGAGTCTACATTTTAAGGTTGCAACCTTCTATAGACTTTTCCCATTATATATATATATATATATATATATCTACAATACATTATTAAACAAGAGTTAAGGGATGGACACATGTCGTGTCGTCAAAATAAGAAGGGACCCTAATGTTATAGAGGTTATAGAGGTTGTAGGACCTATTCCCCACGTTTAGGGGAAGAGAGAGACTAAGTGTCGCGACAATAAGAAGGGACCCTAATGTTATAAAGGTTGTAGGACATATTTCTTATGTTTAGAGGCAAAGAGAGAGACTAAAATTTTGTGTGTAGAATAGAGAGAGAAAGTAGAGATTATAAGAGAAGAGAAACATTGTTTCTATATCTTATTGAGAAATAGAAGAATTTTTTTTATCCAACATTTTCCTAAAATTTGTGCATGAAGAGTAGAGAAAAGAGGATCTCCATCCTTTCCTAATATTTTATGGGTAAAGAGTATATATTTTAGAAAGAGAGATAAAAAATAGTGATTTTAGGAAAAGAGAGAAAATGTAGAGATTTTAGGCAAGAGAGAGAGATTTTCATAGAAGCTTTTGAAAAGTAGATAAAGAAAGAATCTCTCAAAACATGATTTTAAGAAATCAAGGTTTCAGTAAAATTTATTTTCATAAAAATATTAAGTGGTTAAAAATTTCTTACAAGAGGTTATTTGGTATTTATCAAATTTTTTAATAATAAATTTATTTTGATGGTTGAATAATTAGTTAAAGTTAATCTGCTACAAGTAATTGCATACGTACAACCCACCTAATTATCACTCCCAAATGATCACATGTTTAACAACCCAAATGGGTTGAACTGGAACCGAAATCGGCCTTTTACCGATCCAATTTTAGTCGATTTTCATGGCCAAGTTCGAAGATGTTGAAATTTTTTCCCAAAAAAGTATTAAAAATCCAAAACAATAAAAAACTTATTTGTAATGTATTTTCTAATATTTTCCATCAATTTGTGAACTTAGGTGTTTGGGCCATGAATGCATATTTTTACATTTTCCTTCTTTTTTGGATTATTTGAAAAATACCCCTTGATTAAAAAATACCCTGTTCATAAATTGCCTTTTTCAATAAAATATTAAAAATCAGGAAAAAAAAAAAACTTATTTGTAATATATTGTATTTTCTAATGTTTTCCATCAATTTGTGAAGGGGATGTTTGGGCGAGGAATGCATATACTTACATTTTCTTTACATTTACTTTTTTTTTTTTTAATTATTTCAAAAATGCCCCTTGATTGTTTTAAAAATACCCTCTTTTACCAGGTGAGCAAGCAATTCAGAAAAAATAATACACAGTTACATCACTACCGACTGATATAATGTTTGACAACCCAATCGGTTTGAACCGGAATCGGCCTTTGGCCAATCAGATTTTAGTCGATTTTCGTGGCCAAGTTCCATTATGTCTAAAAAATTCCAAACAAAGTATTAAAAATCCAAAAAAAAAAAAGAAACTTATTCAAATATTTTCCATCTATTTGTGAATGGGGTATTTAAGCTATGAATGCACGTTTTTTCATTTCTTTCTTTTTGGATTATTTCAAAAGTACCCTTTGATTATTTAACAATGGATGTGGTTTCTATAAGTTTGCAACCTTAAATAATCCAATTAAGGCACACTTCCGAAATTTATCGTGCAATTTTGGTGTAAAAATTTCTTAGGATTATCTGAAAATCTATTTTTATATTGTCCAAATAATGTGTTGCAAGATGCAGTATTTTTTAGGCTCAAAATACTTTTTTCTTTAATATTCATGCATCTCGATGTCGTGATGATCAATGAGATAGTGTTTCAACATTAAAACAATATTTTCCGATGGATTTTTGAAGTGCATCTATAATTTAACAATTTTAAGGTTGCAACCTTTTATAAACTTTTTCCTTTAAAAATACCCTATTCATAAATTGCCTTTTTCAAAAAAAGTATTAAAAATCAGAAAAAAGAAAGAAAGATATTTATAATGTCTTTTCTAATGTTTTCCTTCAATTTGTGAAGGGGGTGTTTGGGCCATGAATGCATATTTTTACATTTTCCTTCTTTTCAAATTATTTCAAAAGTACCCCTTGATTGTTTTAAAAATACCCTCGTTTACAAGGTGAACAAGCAATTGAAAAAAAAAACGTAGTTCCTGAATAAAACTTTATTATCTACATGTGAAATAAATACATTATTTTGATATTTATAGACACAAACTTTGAATAGATACAAAGTTTCAAAAAAAACTTCTGACTTCTGAGTGAGAATAATTGTGTCGTTTTTGTACAAAAGATATGGTCTCTTTATAAACAATCCCTATATTTTTTTAATGAAAAGAATATGAGTTTAACACTTAAAGCATGTGGTCATGTTTTACTCAAGGAAAGATATTTTGGTTGGGCACCTCAAGTTCTGTCTGAAGTGATATGGAATAAAATAAAATAAAATTAAACATTAAATATAAAATTACAAAAAATATTTTTTGTTACGAAAAGTAAGTAGGATTCTTACAAGAAAACAATGAAGAGATATGGAACATTAAAAAAAAGGAACTATTAATAAAACATTCAAAACACTTCAAAAAAAGTCAATGAGGCAGTTAAATTAGCTATTTGACGCCTGATTACAGCTTAAAAACATTTTATTTTAGTATATCATCAATTATTTTATTACAGAATATCCATATGTTTGGAGAACCTCTGTATGTGAGGACATTTTAATAATTTTTTTCTAAAAGTTATTTAAGTTAAATGGACAAATGGCCAAAACAACTACCTTAATATATTTTTTTAAAAAAATACAATACTACGACTTATATTTTGGTACATGAAGGTCACAAATGATCTCGACTATCGGACGTAAATTGGGGGGGACTTGCATATACTTCATTGAAAAGGCCCAATGTTCAAAATAAATTTTTTCAAACTCTATGATACACCAAAGGTATTGGATTTTGCATAGGATAAATTTTGAAAGGGTAGAATGTCAATTTGTTTTATTTGTTTTGAGTATGTTCACGCCATCCAAACAGTCCAGCATAATAATAAAAAAAGATGACAATATTTTTTAAGAGTAATGACACTACGAGACCCTCTTACACCCATGGGAGTAGGACCCCAAATGATCACTATTAAATTTTGACATAAGTTTTTAGAAAAGTTATGACATGGGTGAATAGGTTTATTGATAACTTTTTTTAGAGATCTGTGTCAAATTTAATGGTGATATTTTGGGATCCTACACTATTGGTGTGGGAGGGACTCATAGTAATATTACTCATTTTGTAATTAAAAGTAAAAAACTTACAATTTTTTTGTTTTTTTATTTGACATCCAAACCGGCAAAATTTGCACTCTTGAGAGAGAGTGGACGTGTGCATGCAAAAAGAGGCTCTCTTTGTGTAGTTGCATGACTGAGAGAGGGAGAGTGTATTTTTCAAGAGAGAAAGGGGGAGAGAGTGGAAGTCCGCAAAAAAGAAGCTCTTTATGTAATTGCATGACTGAGAGAGGGAGAGAACTTTTCAAGAGAGAGATAATGAGGGGAGGTAAGTAGCCATTATACACAAGTGAAAATGATCTTTCAATATAATTTAATCTGTTCTAAGAGCATTAACAGATAATCAGCCTTAAATTTCTTAAAACAGGCACAATAATCACCAAAGTATAATTCACCATCTTTTTCTTTGTCTCACTTTTTTTTTTTTGTTCTTTTTTTTATGATATAAAAAAGTATCACTCACCCTCTTTTATGGGCTCATCGAAAGAAGCAAAAGTCTTGATGATCGACTCATAAACCTTGATTCCTTTCAAGTACTCTTCTTTGTTCAGAAACTGCAAGTCCAAAACACACATTAATGACTCTCTCTCTTCCCCTGCATGGCCAAAACACATCGACGGTCTCTCTCTCTCTGCGAGGACAAAACACATCGACGTTCTCCCTTTCTCTCTCTTCCAAAAAAATGAAGCAAAAAAAGAAAAACAAGAAAAAGAAAACGAGGCTAACTTCAAAAGGAAAAAGGGATTATTAAATATGAACTAATAATAATGAGCCTTGAAGTGCTAAGCATATTTTTGACTCAAAAGAAATTCTGATTTGGCACTTCAAATGCCGAACCACGGGCAATTTGTAAAAAAAATATGGCAAGAAAAAGGGATTTGGGTTTGGGATACAAAAATTATGATACTAATAATAATAATAATGAGAGGGCGTGAAAAGAGGGAATTCTATTTAGAATTTTTATATAAAATAATAATAATAATAATAATAATAATAATAATAATAATTATTATTATTATTATTATTATTATTATAGAATCCAAACAAGTGGTTAATGAGGAGGAGAGAGAAGCGTAAGAGGGTGTATAATGTGGAGGAGAGAGAAGCGTAAGAGGGTGTACCTCATTGTGGTGATGGTGCAATATAGGTGTATTTGATATGGGAGAGAAGGCTATAACCGGTAAGTTTCTCTCTCTAAAATAGCGAGCATCACTCCCACCCAGGAAAATTTCGGGCTCTGCGAGGTTTCCATGGGCTTTCTTCACGGCCTCCTCAAAAAGGGTCCACCATGAGTTGGAGGCATCAGTTGCCGTGAAAGCAGGGTTACCAAACTTGTCAACAGTTGGAAACTTGTCCTTGAACTGTCCAATAATCAGGTCAACACAGCACTCGAAGCCGACTTGCAAATTTCATTGGAATTCACTTTAATTTTTATGCGCGGAGTTGAAAATTATTGTTCCCCAATAACCAACAAAACAACCATGAGAGTAGAGTAGCGGAGGGTAATTTTCGACTTCATCACTTTCGCACAGGAAAATACCAGTCGTGTGTTTAGTTATATGTTTTTAAAAACTAAGAAAGTAGTGTACGAAAAATCGACTCGACTGAGATACTTTGTTTGAGCTGAGTAACTTGGTCGAGTCCACCCCTACGAGTCACTGTACACAGGTGAAAGGCAAATCATAGCTCGATTTAAATACCTGAAATGTCATATTACGAGAAGCAGGAGCCCATTCTTCTTCAATTCTCCTTTCAAGAGAAGTAGAATCAGCATGTGGTGGCACCCGAATATCAAAACCCGCCTCAGCCTCAGATGGTTGTACGTTCATAACAAAACCCTAAAATGAAACAAAAACATCAGAATTTCCCTTCTAAAAGTACAAGAATCAGGCAATGAAAAACGGAATTCAATTAGGGCCTGTTTGGATCTTGAATTTTTCGATCTTGGAAAAAGTCAATCCTCGAATTGAGATTTACTGTAAATATGGTGTATGCTATTTGGATGGCATCCGGTAGAAGAAATCAAATAAACGCAAATTCTTTGTTTGGATTTCCTGGAATATCTTTTACTTGAAAATACAAATCCTTTTTTTCTCACTCTTTCTAAAAATTTTGATATGGTTTCTCTCTCTAAAATTTTTATACAATCTCTTTCAAAAACTTAAAATTTGAAACAGTTTTTCTCTCTAAAAAGTTTGAGATAGTTTCTCTTTCTAAAAATTTTATATATTTTTCTCTTTTAAATTTGATATATTTTCTCTCTCTAAAATTTTAAGATACTTTCTCTCTTTAAAACTTAAAATTTGAGATAATTTCTCTCTCTAAACAATTCAAAAAGATATGATATAGTTTCTCTCTCTAAAATTTTAAGGTACACTCTCTATGTAAAACTTGAAATTTGATATGGTTTCTTTCTAAAAATATTAAGATAGTTTTTCTCTAATAAATTTTAGTTACTCTCTCTATAATTTTAAGATGCTTTCTCTCTCTAAAACTTTTAATATTCAAGTAGTTTATCTCTAAAATTTTCAAGTAGTTTATCTCTCTAAAATTTTAATATACTTTCTCTATCTAAAATTTAAAATTTGAGATAGTTTCTTTATTTAAATTTTTTCAAATAGTTTCTCTCTCTAAAAATTTAAGTACTTTCTCTATCTAAAATTTAATATAGTTTCTCTCTCTATAGTTTTAAGGTATTTTCTCTCTACAACTTATAATTTGATATAGGTTCTCTCTCTAAAATTTTCAAGTAGTTTATCTCTCTAAAAGTTTAATATATTTTCTTGCTCTAAAACTGAAAAAAAAAAAACCTTAAAATTTGAGATAGTTTCTCTATCTAAAAAATTTTAAATGGTTTCTCTCTCTAAATATTTCAAATACTTTCTCCATCTAAAATTTGATATAGTTTCTCTCTCTAAAGTTTTAAGATATTTTCTCTCTCTAAAATTTAAAATTTGAGATAGTTTCTCTCTCTAAAAATTTCTTAGTAATTTATCTATCTAAAATTTGATATAGTTTTTAATCTCTAAAATTTTAATATGCCTTCTCTCTAAAAGTTAAACTTTTAGATAATTTTTCTCTTTAAATGTTTTCAGATATTTCTCTCTAAAAAAATTTTAAGTAGTTCCTCTCTCTAAAAATGTAATGTAGTTTCTCTCTCCAAAATTTTAAAATACTTTCTCTCTTTAAAATTTAAGATTTGAAATAGTTTCTCTCTCTAAAATTTTAATATGGTCTCTCAAAAAATTTAAATTTGAAATAGTTTCTCTCTCTAAAAATTTTAGAGATTTTATCTCTCTAGTTATATATATATATATATTCTCTCTCTAAAAAATTACATAATACTTTCTCTCTCTAAAATTTGATATAGTTTTCCTCTTTAAAATTTTAATATATTTTCTCTATTTAAAATTTGATATAGTTTCTCTCTCTAAAATTTTAATATTTTGTTTTGTTCTTTAGCAGCAAAATGATGAAATGTGAATTCTAAGTGGAAATGAAATTTCCAAAATTTAGGCTTAAAATGAGTCCCAATGGAAATATTAATTCTAAGCGAAAACACAATTGGCCCGGCTTTACCTGAAAATTTGAATACAATGACCCAAACTGGTCCTTCTTCGATTCAATTAAGAGAGAATTTTTTTTTTTTGGTTGCTCAACTGGGAAAGGAATCTATGCCCGTGGAAAACATGAAAACTTGCATTAAGAGGGATTTCCAAAACACAAACCTCAATTGACGAAAATGCATAACGAAGATTGCATGGATTGAAAATAAAAACAAGAAATTTTTTTACGAAAAAAATTATGAACATACGAGTTTAAAAAATGCTTATTTCTAAAAGAAAGTCGAGGGTGCAGTTTGTGTGATGCAAATCAAACATTCGGTGGCTACAAAATTTTAATTTTTCTTTAAAAATTTTATTTTTATAGATTGTTTAGACGTTTTATTTTTATTTATTAATGTTAGTTGTTAAAAATAGGATTTTTAATGTATATATTGATTAAATATATTTTTTAGATCATAAGGTACAATTTCTTAAGAAAAGTTGAACCATATTTTTGGTGGGATTTATTTAGGAAACTATTCGTATTTTTTAGTTGGGGGATTTACTTGGCCTTTATTTATAAAAGATAAGTACAGTATTATGGGTTGGTAGTTTAAAAGGAAGTTATTTCCTTAGTTTATGGGAGTAGATTAGGTTGTTAATAAAAAGATAGAGTTATATTAGGAAAGTTTGTGTTTTTAGTTGGAGGTTGTTTATTATTTGAAGATAAAGATAGTCATCTTTTTATTTATAGAAAGGAAATGCACATTCTTTTTGAAAAGTGACGTGGTAAGAGTTGACCAATAGTCTTTGTCAGTTATCATTTTTTAGTATTTATCTTTATGTTTATGACGGCAAACTCCTTTAAAACGTGAGTTGGAATACAGATTGACTTTTGGTTAATGAAAAATGATTGATCTTCATAGATGGTAGGGAGAGAGCGAGAGAGGCTTTTTTGTGAGTTTTTTTTTCTTATCTGTGTATATTGCCATGCCGGAATACTCACATTCACAAGTTAATGTTCTTTCTTTTTTTGATTTCCTTCTCTGTTTCTTCTTAAGTTAATGTTCTTTCTTTTTTGATTTCCTTCTCTGTTTCTTCTTAACTCTAGGTTGAGATGATCAATTGGTGGATTTTCTGTCAAAACGCACAGGTTGAGATGATCAATTGGTGGATTTTCTGTCAAAACAGCATTTTCATTCTGGATTTTTAAGGTGCGCTTTATTAGGATGAGACCTTATATAATTTTTTTTTTGAATTTCTACATTCAAATTATAAAGAATTAAAATAAATTGTGCAACAATCTTTCTAGCTCTTCCATCCTAACAAAAGCAACTGCAATTGTAAAAGAAGTAAATACAGTCTCGTGTACAAAAGAAGGAAATGCTGTCGAGAGAGTGAGTACCGTAGGTGAAGGCATGCCGGCCTTTAGGAATACCGGGTTCACTGAGATCACCTCCCACTCTTTCTTCAACCCAGATTTCACCAAATCAAACTGTGAAGCTCTGAAACTCCAAACACTCTCCAAACTCTTCTGCAAATTCTCCATTGCGCTCTTGTCGTAAAGTTTCGAACCATGACCAGGGCTCCCTACTGCCTTAATAACCAGCCACCATAGGCTTCTCTCCCCATAAGAAACCCTGTAATTCTCGTCGGGTGAAGCTACACCCTCATCCAGAACAACCCCAACATTCATTTCCTCGAAATTCTTCGAGTTTACGAGTGCTCCGGTTCCATCTTTTCCCCCGATCTCTTCATCTGGTACAAAAGAAAGATACACAGTTCGAACTGGTTCGAACCCATTTATTTTCAGCCTTTTAATGGCTTCCAAATATTGTAAACCCACACATTTCATGTCCTGTGAGCCCCTCGCATAAATATCTCCGTTATGATCGATGTGAGCCGATAATGGTGGGTGAACCCATTTCTGATTCTCTGATGGAACAATATCAGTGTGAGAGCTAAGGAGTATAGAGGACAGATGGGTTTTCTTCCCAGGCCATTTGAGGATGACTACTGGTTTTCCCTCAACGAATTCTAGGGTTTCAGACTCGAGACCAATGGCTTGGGCTAGAGAGAGAATAAAAGCTGTAGAGAGAGAGTAATTAGGGTTTGGGTGTGCTGTGTCTATCTGAAGATATTGTTGAAACCTAGAGATAATGGCGACTGTTTCTTTCTCTGATAAGAATGAAGATGTTGTGTTTAGATATTGTTGAAACCTAAAGACAATGGCGACCGGTTCTTCCTCCGATAACAATGAAGATGCTATGTTTGTGAAGAGGAAGAAGATGAGAAGGTAGGGAGCCATTGGAGTTATCGATTTGGAGGTGGTTTACTCAGGGAAGCTCTTGTCCTCAGGGTAGAGAGAGAGAGAGAG